ATTATATATAAAAGGATTCTAGACAATTAAGTAATCTTGTCTTGAAATTTCAAAATAGGAAGGTGATTTCTATTTAATGTTATTTCTTTTGGACAATGACTCAAAAATAACCTCAAATTGCCCAGTTTTGGACTACGGTTTGTGTTGTATGTGGGCACCATTACTTGAGTTTAGAACTTCTTATAATAGCATTTTGAATATATTGTAGTATTGTTATTTTTTATTATTTTGGATTCTATTACTCTTATTGTTTTTCTGTTACGTATATATACAGTATAGAATAATGTCATACTTCTTTGATATTTTGTTTGTAGCTGGCATTATGGCTGCAGTAAATTTGCTTTGATATAAATAATCTTAATAATCTGCTTGATTTACAATATTTAAATTCTGGGTGAGTTTTTCCCTTTTAGAATTGCAATTCAGGTTACAGCAGGAGTGATATTTATTGTTAACTGAAAGATGTGTTGTTATTTCCATTCATTTCCATTCTGTATCAATTGATTCTTATGAAGGTGATTTAAATGACAGGCAAAAAGAACGTTAGGAGTTTGCAATTAATAGATAATGGATTAAATCTGGCCTCCTCCAAGGCTTTTATTATAATCACATTTTTTCCTATCTGTTAATTTTTCTCTTTTTTATTCATTCTTTACATTTATATGGTCACCCATCTCACAGAAAGTGATTCTGGATGGTATACAATAATTAAATATAAAATAACTAAAACATTTAAGTAAATACACATAAATAAAAACATGTACATGAGAAGACTGAAACCAGAATGTTATACATGGTGCAGCCAATGTGTGAGTTTTCTGCTGCCAAGTAAGGGCTGTTGCCAATCTTACCTTAGGTGGATGAACTTCCAAAAGGTGGTTGCTAGGTCAGAAAAGTTGGGTCTCCTCGGTTCTGTCAGGTAGAAATCCTTAGCAGCTGGGACTCAAAACGTGCCTCTCTTGCCAGGTCTGATGGGACAGATAGAAGTAACGGGAGAGAGGCGGTCCCTCAAATAATCCTCTCCCAGGCCATGCATGGATTTAAAATCAAAACCAGCAAGCTTGATGTGCACCTCAAAGCAAACTGGTAAACAGTGAAGCTCACAGATTAGAGGTGTGACATGCGAACTCCTGGGGCCCCCATAGTTGCCTCAAAGTAAAGGACTACCTGTAGTCCATTCAGGAGGCAAAGTCTAAATAACTTTAAATTACTTATTGATAATTTATTTAGTTTTCAAATAATTTTAACTGGTTTTAATAAAAACAGCTTTTATTAAAAATATTAAAGCAACTTTTAAAAAATCCTATATATATCATATGGTCCGAAACCCTGAGGTGGGAAGGAGAAATAGAAAAGTAAATTACATGTACAAAATGCATTCAAGTTCTCTAAAGAAGGGGGATAGAAAACCAAAGTCCACATGAATGCAACAGATATATTTTTCTTGTCAATAGCTTTTTTCTAGAACAAATGGCAAAAATGGGAGTCTGAGGCAGGGGAACATCAGAAATAATAAACTGAAAGGATGAGAGTTTTCAAGTAGCTTGCTTTTATTTCGAATAAGTTACTTAGGCTGATGATCAAAGCCCAACATTAAAATAGAACTTATTGGTTTTCTTCGTTACTAGGCAACATTTAAATTGTGACTGCTCCAAGTACCTAGGAAAAAGAAGTAAAGAAATTGAAATAAAATAAGCCCCAACTTCTTTTGAGTAGCTAACAAGAAACTTTTGAGATGAAGCTCACATTTTGTTTTAAAAAAAATCTAGATTGTCTACTGTTGTTTACTGCAGTTCAACAAAAATTGGTCAGCAGTAGTACTTGGGAATAGGGACTTTATTCTATAATGGAAGCAGGATACATATAGGTATTGGAGGATCTTCTTGTACTGAAAATAGTAAAAGGTCTGTATAATTACAGTATATCTCACAGGGGTTCTGAAAAATCCTTTGAATAGGCAACTATAAACCATAATATAACAATTCTTCAGAGGACCGGGAACAATTTTCATTAGATATAAATGTATTCTTAGATACTAAAAGTGGGGGGAAATCAGTTGAACTGTTTTCATGTACTACTTATTAGAAGAAGTATATGCAGTATTAAAATATGATCAGGAACTACTTTAAAATCCTTGTAACTACTTTTTAGTGGATTAAAAAAGATAAGAAATGCAGTATTTTAATATTTAATACAAATATTAAATATAAATCTGTAAATCTTTATTTCTATTAAATCTATATTTTACCCATAGATTTCAGAAAAGCTCTCTGAGCTTAACTCAAGGATATGTCAACAGAGTCAGACATGGAAAGTCGACTGGCTCCACTACCAGCTGTGTGTAAAAGCTACATTGGACGTAAAGGGATTTCACATTTATTATGTGGGTGGAATGATGTCACTTGGTTTGATTATGCCCCTTTCAAGCTGCTGTGATAATTACCTGCTTATTACCAGAAGTGGTGAACCCATTTTCAATACTTGTTTGCTTTTGCTGTCATGCCCTAATTGCTATATAATTCTGCCCCTGCCAATTATAACCATTATGTAAAATTTTAGTGATGAAGTAGAAAAATAGGGAAAATATCAGTGTGGTCTTCATAATTTTGTCCGAATTTTCAGTTATATATCTTGATGTATTATCTCTAAGGCACAAGACCTGATTGTAACTTTTGGACAGTATCTTTTTCCTTCCTTCTCATATGCATACAATTTACTTCACTTTTCTCTGAATCAAGATTGACTGTTAAGTTTACAGGAAGAATTAAGTTCAGTCTATTGATTTGATTCTTAAAATAGCAATATTTTCCTGGATTTGAATAATGTTCACAGCAATAATAACCTAATATTATCTCATGATTTCATTATCTTTCATGATTGCAGAAAACTTGCAATTGATCTGGAACTACCTACTAGTATTGCACAAGTTTCTCTACTGCTTAAAATAAGAGAAATGTATTTACATTGGAGCCTGTGCTCAGAGTATGAAGGAATGCAAGCATCGCACCTACTTTAGTAAATTGTACTGAACACAATGGATCTTACTTCAAAGTCCTCAAGACTCTTTTATAAGATGCTACATAAGAATTTTTTCAAAAACATACAAATGTTAACTACGTATTCTTTATGTAATAAAGAATTTTCTCTGAACAGCACTAGCAAGATAGAGGAGAAAAAATTACATATAAAAGGTCACATCAGAACCATAAAGCAAGTGCAGATATACCATGAAGGTTTAATTTTGTTCTAGATAAATTGATAGAGGGATTATGAAACATATTTTATTATGCTAGTATAAAATTCTACAATATTCATATATTGTACTGCATAAGCCTTAAATATTTGTTTTATTTGTTCCCCAAATAGCATTTCATGTCACGTAGATTTAGTATTATGGATTCTTAGAAGAGACTGAAAACAAATAGTCACTTCAATGGCATCATTTTCTAAATCTAAAAGCCTATAGACAATAGAGAAATCCAAAACTCTTATCCACTTGTAATTTTAAATGCAACCAAAGGGAAACTTCATTAAATATTTTCCTAGAAAAATAAAATTAATTAAACTTTACTTAATTAAAAGCAAATTAAATTCAAATTAAGTTTTTTTCTTCCCTATCTTTTGGAGTATGTTTTCTGTATGACACTACAGTCATATTGGGAGCACCAAAGTGCTTCCGGGTTGAAAGAATTAACTGATGACATCATTTTTGCCCAAGGGGCGCCCAGCTGGGGGCTCTCTTCATATCCCATATGCCCACCTAAGTGGTACATGAGCATGCTGATCATCAGCCCAGGATCCCAACTATGTGAGCCACCGTGCTCCACTAACAATACATGATATAAATTATAAAGAAAAATTATTGAAACTTAAAAAGAAGGGAACCGTAGCCGGAACTAAATATTTGCATTTTGATATTAAGATGATACAAATTCACTAAAAGATTTTTTTTGCTATGTTTACTGGGCCTTTCAGAAAATATTTTTTAAAAGGTTCGCTGTTAAATTCATTATGTCAAAGGAATTTACTTGGCTTAAATAATAGAATGCATATCTGTGTGTCTTTTCCGTATTTGCCCTTTTGATTTTGATGTTTCCCCTACCACTTTTTTTACAGTCTCCAATATTTTTTTATTTATTAATCAAATTTATATACAGTAGCTGCACATATCTGAGAAGTGACTTCATGTTGTGCTATTGCTGGGTTAAACTTGGTATATTGTTAAGAATAGGCCCAAAGATTTTATATTTTATTCATCAAATAAAATTGTTGTAGTCTTACTTTGAAGTTTAAAATATTACAAGATACAAAGGTCAATGCTTAGTTAGTTTAAATCACGGTTTTATTTGGAATGGAGAAATGTGTTGAAAATATTTGCTCATACCCCTTTAGGATCCAGATTCTTTTACTAAAGTACAGGTAGACTTTAATTTACAACAGTTTAGTGACTATTCATAGCCACAATGGCACTGAAAAAAAGTGACTTAGGACCGTTTTACAGATTTACGACCATTGCAGCATCCCCATGATCATGTGATAAAAATTCAGACGCTTGGCAAGTAACTCAGATTTATGACTGTTGCAATGTCCTGGGATTATGTGATCGCCTTTTGCGACTTTCTAACAAGCAAAGTCTATGGAGAAGCAACTATAATAACCAATATTACTAATGTAACAACTGCATTGATTCACTTAACAACTATCGCAAGAAAGATTGCAAAATGGATCAAAACCTACTTGACAACTGTATCACTTAGCAACAGTTATGGTTGTATGTCGAGGATGACCTGTATTTTATTCGCCTCTGATGTTACATTAGGAGCAGATAGAAAATGCACATCTTGATATTTCTCTGTATTGTACATTTCACCCATTATTATTGTAAGGTTTAATGTTTAATGTTTAATAAAATTTAGTACTGTAATGAACAAAATAGTTTCCTTGGTAATTTGGTGCTTTTTTTCTAACGTTATAAATTGTGTTTTTCTTTCCTCTCACAGGCCTCGAAATAGAGGAAAACCTGCGGTGGAGGATGAAGACAGTATGGATGGATTGGAGGCAACAGAAACAGAAAACACTGTGGAAGTTGGTAAGGCAAATAGACTAGGACTGATATAGATAGATTTAACAAATGTCTAAACTGAATTTATACCATGGAATAGGCTAAAATGATAGTAGGGTCATAGCATTTTAGTTTTAGTCCCAAAAGGGAACTTTAGAGTATGCTAGACCAGAAACATTACATTTCTCAGCCATTCTTAAGGCAGCTATGAGATAGCATGGTAACTCCACTTTGAAGTATCATTTTGGAATTGAATCTCAACTGGAATTGGGAGTACATGTAAGTGCTGCCTATCCTATAAACAACTTTGCTTCAGTGTGTTGTGTGTGAACCTAGCAATTCTATTCCGAAGGTGCTTTTTCCAAAAGGCAATTGGATTTTCTTGGTTTTTTTCCTTTGAAAACCTTTTGCTTCTGAGAAGCTTCTTCAGTTCCAACTGACTGGTGGGGAATAAAATGGTTTATATTCTTTGCAGCTATCCAGTTGTTAGCACTCTGAGAGTTGTTGAGGCCACTTGAGGGTTTATCTATAGCTTCAGCCATCTGAATCCGAGTGTAAACCGGTGTGGAATCTTCTTGATAGGTGGTATCATATCTTCCCCTTCTGTTGAGGGAGGACTGTTCAATTTTGACATAAATGGCCTCTTTGACTCCTCTTTCAAATTAGTGCTCCTCTCTGTCCAGAATGTGAACTTTGATGTCTTCAAAAGAATGACCCTTGTCTTTCAGATGCAGATGGACTGCTGTCTTGAGTTTGTTGTGCCATGTGTTTGTGACTCTTTTTGTTGCATGAATCAGGACCTGATGTCAAACCATAGTTCATTTATTTGAGGATAAGTAGTCCTCGAGATATGACGTTAATGGTGACTGCCCATTACAGTCACATGTCACAACAGTTGTTAAGTGAAACAGCATCACTTAACTTTCCTTATGCAAACATAAAACGAATAAGAGAATTGTTGAATAGTGCATAGGATGCCTCGGCAGTAGGCCCAGAATACCTGTCCAGGGCCTCCCAAAGCTACCCCCACCACCTGAGGCATCCTGTGCTCCACTTCTTGACAGGATCTCCACAGTCCTTCAGCTTTCTTCCCATCCAGCAGGTAAGAGAAGATTAGATCTGTTGCGAACTTGCAAACTTTGGCTGCCTTGATCTCACCTTGCTTGCTGGGTGAGAAGGAAACTGAGGTTTGCAAGCACCAGCTGATTCATGCCTGCTACAGCTGCCTGATCTCCAATGGGTGGATAAGTGGCTGCAGGTTCCCAGCAGGATTGAATATCCTTGTAAGAGCAAATGATTGTGAGGTTGTCATAGCCATCGTAACTATGAAATTGTTGCAAGTAGTTTTTGGGAACTCTGATGTAATTTTGAATGGTTTGCTAAGTGATCTGTCCTAAGTCAAGGACTACCTGTATTGAACGTTGTACAAAAATACTCATTTGTATTAGGTGAACCCTGCCTTTGTGTGAGAATTATCTGTTCCCTTGATCTCAAACAAGTAACGCCTGTATGCTTTATTTATGATGTGCCTTCAATGGCTCACTTTGGCGTATTTGCAAGCCACCTCAAAAATAACATTTGCTTATTCCGATATGACCTGGACTTCACTTTAATATGCTTCAATTATGTCCTTTTGCCCAAGGATAGTTTCCTTGGGCAGTGTTAACCAACCGCCTACTATATCTAGAAGAATATCTATTTGGTTTCAGTTTCTTCTAATTTTTTTTCCTTAAGAAGAAAAACAGGTTAGACCAGGGGTGTCAAACTCAAGGTCCATGGGCCGGATATGGCCTTTGGGGTACTTAGATCTGGCCTGTGGAGCCTCCCAGGAAACAGCAAAGGACTGGCCCGAAAGTGCCCCTGCCAGCAAAAACAGAGCTTGGGAGGGCCACATGTGTCCCTCCTGAGCTCTGTTTTCACTGGCATAGAGTTGTAGGAGGCCGTCCCAGCCGAAAATGGAGATCAGGAGCCCGTTCTCCCTGGAAGAGCACTCGGGCCCACAGACACCCCTGACACGAGTGACATCAAGATGGCCACACCCATCCTGGCCACGCCCCCCCCAAGCGCAAACACAATCCCAATGCGGCCCTTAATGAAATTTAGTTTGACACCCCTGGACTAGATTCTCTTTTGAAATAGTGATTAGGCTGCTTTTGGTAAAAGCTGATCATTATCAGCTAAAGACTAGTGTCAAACAACGTTCTGTCTGTCCATAAGTGATAGATTGTTACTAACAAAGCACAAAGGATTCTTGAGTTAAACTTATTATTAGATTTATTTTGCTCTGGGGGAAAATGAATTTTACAAAGTTATGGTAGGCAAGAAGTACAATCCTGTTTTTAGTTCTCTTGGTAGCCTTTGTAATATTAATCTTGGATTGATAGTCTAATTTGGTTTTGGAGTATATTGTAATAAATTTCTGTATTTTTGCTCTTGCTTGGATGGTTGATTCCCCAAAGGGATGCTTTGGGATTATTGTTCTGCTCTGTAGCAATTAAGGTATGTTCAAAACAGTATCTGTTTTAATTTTCATATTATTTAGCATGTATCTGAAACTGTGAAATTTGCTCAGGAACGGAGAACAGGGAATCACGAGAAATAGGAAATAGCCCAGTCTCTTCCATGCACTTTGGAAGCATTTGAGCAGTGAGATTTGCAATAAATAGAATGAGCTAGAATCTAATCCAAAGGAGACAGAAATGTTGCTTTAATGTATGGTTCATCTGCCCAGTTTTTGTGATTTGCACGATTGAATGGTGAATGATGGTTTTGGATGGAACTTGGTTCAAGAACCAGGTTGATAATTTCGGTATGCTGTAGGAGGCAGGAAGCTTAGATTTCTATGAATGCCTTTTATCAGCTGTGATTTATGAACAGAATAGGCCACTTCCATGGCAGAGATAGTTTTGTGTTAGTAACCCAATACTTTGGTTGCCCTTAGGTAATTGCTGCATTGAATTATTAGGCCTCCAAAACAAACTGAAACTAATGGAATGAGTTTATTAACGGGCATTGGTAGATATTACCACATTATGACAATTCTCTTTCAACTGCAGTACCTGCTAACTTGCCTTGTGTGCCCGCTCTGAAGTTTTATTATTTATTCTGTTCTAAGGTTGCATAAGATAAAGCAAGATAAATCAATCAAGTGAGCTGGCAGGGTCAGGGGAGATGTCCTTTGCCAGACAGGGTTGCAAGAAACAGGATCTTGCTGATTAAATTCCTTCTTGTTAGGCAGCCAGTTAGGATGATGGATAAAATGTTGTACTGCATTGCCTAAACACTGCTGGAATGCTAGCGGCAGCCTCATCATCTGCATTTATTTTCAATTTTGTTCAGCAATTATTTTTTTTAGCCTTTCAGTGCATAAATTACAGCATTACAGGTTTCCGTGCGTGGCAATCTGGGCAGTCACTTGATCACTCAAGAGAACATGAGTTTTGGTATCTTGAGAAGCTCAGCGCTTTTCTACAGTTACAACTTTTGCATTGTTTTGTTTTTTGATGCTTTTGAGTTAGTGTTGACTTTTGGTGAAACAAGTCCCTGCAGTTTTCGTGGCAAGATTCTAGAAATGTCTAACCATCACCAAGGTCATCAAACTGGTTTCATGCCTAAAGTGGAACTAGAACTTGCACTCTCCTGGTTTCTAGACCAGTGCCTTAAGCACTACACCAAACTGACTCTCATAGTTACAAGATGGAAAGGAGATATTTTCGGATCTAGATTGAAGAACACTTATTAGGGGTCTCTTACTTGTATAGCAAAGGAAATCAGCTTTGCTGGAAATAAATTGCAAAATAAACATTTTTCCCCAGGGAACTCAGGATATATTCCCAATGGGCCAATGGAAATAATATGTTTAAATACCTGGAGGTATTTTTTCATATGTCTGGCTCCAATAAAATTTATCCAACAAATGTGATGTAGAATTTTCAGAATAAAAGTTACTGCTACACGCTTGCAGTCGTAAACTTTTCCAAGCCAAATGCAAGGCACAACTTTTATATGGAGCTAGGTTCTTTTGCTTACTTTATCCCCTTGGAATGATGATCAAAGTTTCTAAGGACTGAAACCTTATGCCTTTTGCAGCTCAGGAGTGGGCAGGCAGAACTTAAAAGTACTGTAGATCAATGTTTCCCAACCTTAGCAACTCTAAGATATGTGGATTTTTGCTCCCAGAATTCCCTAGCCAGCCATGAGTATCATACTGATATTCTTGATTAAGATCTTCTCTAATCTCTTTTCTAATCAGGATTAGTTCACTAAATTATGGAAGGTTTCCAATCTGAATGGAGATAAAAGTCTTAAAGAAATTCTCTGTATTGAGATTGTCTCCCATTTTCTAGTGTCTCCTGCCAAGACAGTGTATGATGGCTATAGAGTGTTGCTCTGACTTTGTTAAATTTTCCTATTTGTGAAAGTTTCAGATATATCTTCTCCCTATCTAAAATTCAGCTACAAGTGCCTAAATATAAAATGGCTTATATTTTTGCAAGTTTCAGTGGTCCCCAACTCTGTGTGAGAAGGAAAATATAGGAGGAGCCTTTTTTTTGGATCATTCGTATCTGTGCAGTGATGACAGCAAGGAAGCTACCGGTTGTGATTTTCTTCATTATACATAGAACATTTATAGACATTTACAAGTCAATCTTTTTCCTATTTCCTACTGCACTTAAGAATACCAGACCATACAAACTAGTTTTATATCATACATTGATTACTTTTGGATAATGATTTTACAATTATTTATAATGTCAACAAATTATGTGCAGCCACACATAAAATACAACAGGAATTTATAGTTAAGTGTTATTTGAGGGAGAAATGTGTTATATTTGTATTTGTACCTTAATAATTATTGTATTATTTATGTTTTAAGGCAAGGCCTCCAAACTTGGCAACTTTAAGACTTGTGGACTTCAACTCCCAAAATTCGTCAGCCATGGGGAATTCTGGGAGTTGAAGGCCACAAGTCTTAAAGTTGCCAAGTTTAGAGACCCCTTAACAAGATTTTATTTTAACATGATTAAATCCTTTCCAAGAGTTATGGTTACAGCTAGTGCCAAGATTATTTGAATTATATTCATGTACAGCTTTTAATTCTATTGATTTTACCTTTAGTGTTATAGTATAACATTTGTAACAATGTACAGTATAAATGTTAAGTTGCCCACTGCCATACAGGAGTACAGATAATCCACAATTTAACAATGGTTAAATGTTAAATTGTTTACATTGTTTAATGACAGAAATTAAGCCGGAGCCCCCAAAACTATTTGCAATCTGATTTTGAAGTTATATTGGCTGCAACCCCTCCGCTTTTATAGTAATGTGATCACATTTTGGATGCTTGGTAAGTGGCTCAACTTTACTGCTGCTTGCGGTGTCTTATGATCACATGACTGATGCTTTTTGACATTTTTTGTTGGTTTCCGATATTTACCTTTGAGTTCTAGCCAAAAAAACACTCATTATGTAAAATTGATTCCATTAATGACCACCGTGTTTGCTCAGCAACTATTGCAGTAAGGTCATAAAATCAGGTCCAATCACATGGTACCTGCTTACTAACTGTAAAAATTTATGACCATAATTCCAGGCTCAGTTATAGCCATAAGTCAAGGATTATTTCTGGTTGTAACTGTAGGGCATGTGCTTCTATTTTGCTGTTTCTGTAATGAAGTTTATCATATATATTTAAGACTTCTTCTAAAGAGTGCTAGGCCAGACAAATTTTGCATTTTATTTCATTTCTTTCAGGTCATAATGCTTTATGGTTACCATTTTTCAGAGCCTGTATCATTAGGCAGCAGATAGTGAAACAGGAAAATTCTTATTCCATCTGATCATGAGCAAAAGATACAATTTAGCAATCCTATCTAAAGTTTTATGTGAGAGTTATTTTATATTACTGTATTTTATAACTGACAATATTATTTTATACTTTTGCAAAGTACTTTTGTAATTTATTGATTTAATCTTTAGTATTTAAATTTATAATCCTGTAGTATTTGTATTTTATTGCTTTATTTTATTCTTACCTAATTTAATAAGAAATTTTTATGTTTTTCCATCGGAATACTGTAAAAGCTATTATGAAGCTATAATAAAAATGTTCTATTCTAGAATCATACATAGTGTTTGATTATAGTTTTAGGTTTAATTTACAGGTATTTTCTGTTAAACATAAAAAATTAATTTACACTGTTATAAATACAAAATTACTGATAAGTTTTATATTATCGATTTTTCATTTTATGCAGGTCAAAGACCAAATTAGTCAGACTAATATTATGTTTCCTATTTCAAAATACTATGGCTCAGAGTCCAATGTAGTGAACACGTCAGCCTCAGTCTTCCTGTTACATTGGCTTGAATGTTGCTGTATTTGAGGCTGTTTCTTTTCCTATCATAGATACTACTGGATTAGCTTCCATATGCTGGCTGTTATTTAGCTCTCTCCATCCCAAGAACAATAGCCAGATTAATGGAAAAAAACGATCGGTCTCCCACCGTTCTGCATTAAGAATTCTAGCAGGAAATATCTTCCTTTCACTGTAGCTGAATATTGTTTTTATTATTTTAAAGAATTCTTTAGTTTTGAATATTGTGATCAGCTATTGTGTAAGTGCAATGCATATCTTAAGTTCATAGTACCTTGAGTTTTATCTGGAGCAAGGAGGGATACAATTTTTAAAGAATGTATTACAGCTTACTCCAACCAAAATCAGCCCTAACAATTAAATCAAACAGAGAACTGTGACTAATCCCACATTTTCAGGTTGAAGCAACGAGGTACTGGTTTTTTGGGGCAGGACTGATGCTCTATAACAGCTGAGATCAAGCTAGCCCATTCCTTAATATTTCAACAGCTTTTGAGATGGAGCTCCAGAATGTCTTCTTCTGATTTTATTAGGCCATCTTTATTTCTTGTTTTTATTGTTTTATGTTTAGATAATGTTCTTTTACTAATTTCATGGCAGTTATACTGTTAATGTTTTACTTGGTTTTTAACCATCTATATAAGCCACTGATACTCTTTGGATTGTGATGGGTAGATAAGTAATAATTCATGCTTAGTTTTGTTCATTTGCTCTAAAAATTGTTTGGGATACTCATTCTAATTCTATGTCACAGAATAAATTTACCATATCCAGTAATAATCTGCTTTGAAAAAGTTTGAAAAATCAGTATTCTCTGTCTCTCCCCCCCCTGCCCTCGCTTTATATCTTTTAAGGTGTTTTTTATTTTTTTATTTTTATATTTTATTTCTCACATTTCAGTTTGAACATTGACATGCCATTTCAGTAACCTTTACTATGTACTTCAGTTATCCTCGGGTCCTTTTTTGGATAAATGCATTAATACTAGATTTCTACATTCTGTGATGGATTTAGATTTAATTCTCCTCCTAGCCTGGTGGAAGTAGACTTTCCATATGTCCATCATGCCATAACAATTTTTGTGTCCTGTTAAAAATGTTACACCAAGAGTGAAGCAGAACTATTTAATAGGATGAGATTGACAAGAATTAGAAAGGGTTAAAGCCAATAAAGTTCAATAGAAATTGGGAAGCAATTTAAACTATCACACTGTAGTTACTTCCCATACCTTCTGTAGCATGGGTATCAAACTCCCCACATCACATTGCCATCACATGATGTTTCACGATGGTTTCCCCCTTTGTGGAGCTGGGATGGGCGTGGCCTCAATCTGAAGCATCCAGTTTGACACCCCTGTTCTATAGCATTTATCAATGACTAGTAGAGCTGCTGTGAAGACAGTCACAAATCAGCCTCTGCTTGTTCAATTGTTCAGCCTAAATCTACATCCACCACATTTTTGTTTACATTCCTGCAAGATGGAACAATAATAATTAAATTTTGAGGCCTTGCTTATGGTCACTCATAACTTGGTCATCGCCTATCTGGATTATTGCAATGTACTCTACATGGGGCTACCCTTGAAGACCATCCAGAAACTTCAGCTGGGTCCAGAATGCAGCATTGTATACAATAATGGGAGTCTCTAGGTTTGGCTTGACTACAGTGGCTTTCAGCCTCTTTCTGGGTGCAATTCAAGTTGCTGATCATTACCTTTAAAGCTCTAAATGGCAAAGGGCCTGGTTATCTCTGGAACCATCCTTCCCTAAGGACCACCCTTTCTATCAGGTGAAATAGGATGGTTGGTACTCCTAGTTGCTTCCCCTCAATATCTGATAGAAGCTAGGTAGCCTGTCCTTTCTATGGCAGTCCATAGAACACTCTCTGTGGAACACTCTGTCCCCTAAAGTTTGACAATCCTTTGTCTTCTTAGCCTCCCCCCCCAAGTGCTTGGAAAAGATTGGATAATTTATACATTAAAAGTTTGATTTGGTACCAGGTCTTGGTTGATTTTAACATGTTTAGTTTTAACATGTTTAGTTTTATAATTTTAATATAATTTTATAGATTATTTTGATTTTTGATTGGATCCATCCAGAATTGGTTGGAAAGTGGGCAGTTATATAAATGTTTTAAATAAACAAACGAGCAAACAGACTAATAGATAAAATTTTGTGGTATAACTTTGCTCATAGTTTGAAAATGGGAAAAAAACCCATCTTAGAACAGAATGGCTTGTTTTGTTTAAACACTTTAAAATGAAATCTATAATCAACTTATACTCTCCTTGCTAAGCAGATACCAGGGAACAATTTACAGAGGAGGATGCCCAAAGTGAAGTGGATGATGACAAGAAGCCAACCCCAGATCTCCAGTGCTCAGTCTCTCTGGACTCTGCCAACACCAATTGTTCGATTGGGGTTGAAGCAAAAAGCAGGTTAGCGAGGCAGATTCAGAATGAGTGAGAGGGTGGCTGAGACTGCTACTTTTTTTAGACTACTTTTGATTTGTCTATAAGTGATTTAATTGTGTTTATTCTGTTCATTCCTAACCAAGAGAGGTAGATTCATGCTTATAACTTTTCTCTAACTCTAAATTTATAATAGCGGTTATAATAGTGGTTTGGATGATGTAGAAATCAGAAATCAGTCACTTTATTAACTAAATTTTAAAATAGATTTATTCCTTAAAGCACTGAAAATAGCTGTGAAAAAGATTGGATTTGTTTTTCTGCTTCACAAGAATATCTTAGCAAATTTATTCCTTTGTTTATATCCCACCTTTGGAAGCCAACATACCTAATAACTCCTCCTCCTCCTCCTCCCCCCCCCTCCTGTTTTCCTCATAAAAACCGTGTAAAATAGGTTGCGCTAAGATTTAGAAAGTGATTAGCCCAAGGTCCCCAATTGGCTTTTATATCTAAGGCAGTACTAGAATTCAGTCTCCTGGTTTCTAGCCAGGTGCCTTAACCACTTGAACAAACTGGCTCTCAAATTTAGTCAAAATGAGTTATTAAATGTCCAAACTAATTGTAAATTAAGATTATATACTGAATTTAGAACTTAAATGCACAACCTGTGTGATCAACACATTTTGGGGCAGACTGAAAATAATTAGGTGGGAGGCTGACATTTGGTTTTTGGTTTTTTTTTAGTTATGGTATGCCTATTTTTCAGTGGAGCTTTTCTTCATTTCAACCTAAACTGGTGAGAAACAATGCTGTCAGTTTTTAGCAAACCTAGACAGCAATGGAAGAAAAATTCCTGTCCTAGGGCAATATAGTTTTTCTCAAGCTTTAGGTTGACTTCTCTGAGACTTTCCAGAGAATGCTGCCAAATTTCAATTTTAATCTAACAGAAAAATCTATGGTATTAAATACATTTTGCTTAATGTCAATATTTAAGTAATTAATTTTAAATTAAATTTATATTTTAAATGTAATTATATTCACGATTAAATTTAGGGTTTCATCCTGACTATGCTAATTTTTGCAGTGCAGTTCTTGATGTGCTATTCAGCCTGAAAAGAGTTGCACCCCGTAGTATAGGCAATCCAGGAATGCTTAGCATTGGATTTTTTTTATTCATCTGGGATAACTTTGTGAAAACATTTACAGGTGAAGTTAGATCTAATTTAAATATTAATAGTTTATTGACTGTATTTAATGTAATTGGATGGCAAAATTTCTCTTTCAATTTTTTTTTTAAATTTGCAATTTTAAATACCATTTGAACTTTCTCTTTTGCCTTTCTGGTCTTTTTTATTTTTGGTCTGCTTGTTGTAGCAGTGAACAGGTCTGCGCTTTTTGTTACTGTGGGGAACGCAGCTCATTAGGACAAGGCGAGCTTAAACAATTCAGTCCAACTCCAGGGTTTATTGCTCCATGGAACAACCAGCCCTTAAATATCAATGAAACTGTTGACAGCAACGATACCATTGATGAGAGTATTCCAAGGCAGAACCCAGTCCTCCACAAAGCAAGAGGACAAAAAAAGTAAGCATTTCTCTGTGTTACAAAGTTAAACTATTTTATTTAATATTTTCTCCCAAAGCATAAGTATATTTTGAAGCAGCGTACGGTTTTGGTCTGCTTATCTGTTTGTTTAATAAAACAAATGTTAGGTGTTAGCATAACATACATCCAGAGTGTTATCTAAGTGGCAACTAAAAATCAAAAGCAGAAGTTCCTTACAGAATAAAGGAATATATTGGTTGACAGAAAGTGTTGTAAAATAATAGAGTAGAAATGAACACACAAATACAAACAAAATCCTGGAGCAAGAGTGCTTAGAAATGAGAGTAATGATGTGAAGCTGGCTTTAGACTTGGCGGCTGGGATACTGCAAAATGAACATATAACTTAAATTGAGAAACATTCCTATCAGAGGACTGTTGTGGGGTTACTCTTCAGTGGTGGGATTCAATTTTTTTTTACAACCCGTTCTGTGGGCATGGCTTGATGGGCGTGGCAGGGGAAGGATACTGTAAAATCTCCAGTCAGAGGTATTTGACGGTTCCCTGAACTACTCAAAATTTCTGCTACCGGTTCTCCATAACTGGTCAGAACCTGCTGAATACCACCTCTGTTACTCTTCTATAATCCTGGAAAGAGAAGCACAGCTGTAAGAATACCTGACACTGGGACTTTCTTTTTCATCCAATTTTGTTTTCTTCATTTTTGCATTTATTTAATATAATCTATGCCTAAGAAACATTCTTAGTAGTAACTATTTATTGAGAGCTTGAATGATGCACTTATACATTGAAAAAAAAATACTTAAAAGAGGCTTGAGCTGATTAATCAAAGTTTTTGTAGCTTATGGGAAAGTGCAAAATTAATTTACTTGGAACAGTTAACCATCTCTGTCCCCGAGGAGGGTGATGCAATCATACTCTAGTGCCATCCTGGCTGGTCTCCAAGTTTAGCTACTAAAGGGGATTGTTTGTTGGAGTTTCCTCATTGGTGGTGATTTCTGGGCTGGTGCCAATCAGATAAAAGCAGTGAAGTAGGAAATAAAACAAAAACTATGCAAAATAAGTATTTTGATTGATTTAAAGTGGATCATTTTAAAGGAAGGTCTAGATTACAATATTTTAACATATTGAAAGTACTTTAACTTCTTATTTGAATATATGTAATTTGTTTCCCCTTTTTTGATTCATTTTAAGTATAAAAACTTGTAAAGTAAAAATAAAGTAATTTATTCTACATAGAATAAATGTGTTGAATATGTGTTCAATTACATGTCCACAAGACAGTTATAGGTATTTGAAGAATCTCAAATGTTTTGAATGTAAAGAGGTGAAATTTACAATGATTTGAAATGTAATTAGGCATATTCCTGATCAGTATTAACAGTTTGTCACTCTTGTGGTGTTTCAGATCAAGGTATATTTTTGGTTTTTTTATATATATCTAATTTGTGCTGAAGTATTTTCTAAAATTGAAATACGAATTATTTATATCTAGTCACATGAATGAGTCAATAATTAATTTCAAGAAATAATATTTGATATAGAAAATAATGGAGATTACCTTGACAGAACTAGACAAGAACTATTATATTGGAAGGATGGGAGATAAAGCACGATCTCACAAAGATATACAGGTATTCCTTAACTATTTGGTGACAGTTTGAACTTACAATTGAACTGAAAAAGTGACTTATAACTGTTTTTCGCACTTAGGGATCGTTGTAGCACCTCTGTGATCACATGATCAAATTTTGGACAGTTGGCAACTGGGCTCATATTTATGATGATTGCAGTGTCCCGGTGTCATGTGATCATCTTTTGTGATTTTCCATTAAGCAAAGTTCTAAGCGCAAGGTGCACCACAGAATAAGTGTCCTGACAGTTAGAATTGCCTCCAGAATTGGAAGTTTTAAGAAGAGATTAGATAATCTCTTCAGATTCACTTAAAAAACTATGTTACTAACTTAACAACTGAAGCGATTCACTTAACTGTGGCAAGAAAAGTTGTAAAATGGGGCAAAACTCAGTTAACAATTATCTTGCTTAGCAACAGAAATTTTGAACTCAATTGTTGTCTATCTGTAGTTTAATCTTCCTATAGAGTAGACTTTTTTTTGGTCTGGTCTATCTATTGGGCTAGGCATCAATCTTGCAAACCCAATTGTGCTTTAATGCCCTTCCTTCTTATATCCCAATGAATCAGGAAGGATCTACCTGGGTCATTTTCGACAACTATCTTCCTAGGACTTAAAGCAGGGGTCTTCAAATGTGACAGCTTTAAGATTAAATGGTCTTCAACTCCTAGAATTCCTCCTCCAGTCATGTTAGCTCAGGAATTCTGAGAGTTGAAGTCTACAAGTAAACTTGCCAAGTTCGAAGACCCTTGACTTAAAGGATGTTTCAGCCCTCTCTTCTTATGTAATGGTGCTTGCATATTTCTCTCAAGGTTATTGTCTTTATTCTCTACGTTAGTAGTTAAAAGTCTTCATAAATTTATTATTAAACTATTATTATTAAAACATTTTTTGCTTATGGAGTTCCACAGAGATGACTCTAGAAATGTTTATGCAACTCTTGATAATCCAATTTAAACTTGTTAGCATCTCATTCAAGAATAGTGGTCTCTGTTGTGTATTTTGGTTCTGGGTTTTCTCTTAAATTTGAATTCTTAACTTTTTGTGAGCTTAGCTTTCTGCCATTATGTAAGCAAAGCATTTTTAATTATAGGGAATGTTTAGTTTTTTGTGCTAAATCTTAATTTATTTTTATTTATTTGTACTTCTCATTTCTCAACCACCCATCTCCCTTGGAAAAGGGCTCTGATCAACATATAATGCAGTCAATAAATTCAACTATTTAAATCAGAACAATTTAGGATTAAATTTTTTATTTATATAATTGATTCAAATACATAATCTGGAAAATGTGGCTAACAACATGTTAAACCAACAAAAACAATATTGGCAAGGAATAAAACATGAAAAATGTCACCAAGAACAAACCCAACAAAATAATTGATAAGGTGGCAAAAAGCTGTTTGACCTCAGGCCCTGGTGCACATGACGGTCTTCAGTGAAGGATCTTTTATGAAAGGCCAGGATTGGGGCCAATCTGATCTAGGTTAGTAGAGCCTTTTGGAAGGTAGGCTCTATGAAATAGATAAACATTCCTGAAGCTATAAAGATGGAAAAGTTACTTATTTTCTTTTTGAAAATTGAAATAATTTGACAGATACAAAATATCTGGTATTATCTCCAAAAGCCTGATACTGTATGTCTGAAAGATAGAAACTCTTTTTAGTTTTTCTTTGCAAGTTACAGTTTTAAAACAGTTGTAAAGAGCTATAATAGATAGTAGAAACAAACTTGAGGAACAGAAGGAAAATCTGCAACCAAGATAATGGTCAGATAAAAGTAACCTGAATCCAGGACATAACTACAACCTGAGAAAACATCTCAGACTTGATCGTTCCTAGTTCTTTCAAATATAAAGGGAAGGAAGAAGGAAGAATATTTAGACTGGCAACCTTCTGTTAAATGGTAAAAGTTCCCTCGCACCTATATGCTAGTCATTTCCGGGTCTAAGGGGCGGTGCCTGAGTTTTAAAGGAGCTGGCAGAGGTCATCTCAGAACCACTGCACTATATCTTTCAAAAATCCTGGAGCACCAGGGAACTACCAGAGGACTGGAAAAGAGCTGATGTGGTTCCCATCTTCAAAACAGGGAAAAAACAGTTTCAGGAAACTATAGACCAATCAGACTAACATCAATACCCGGGAAGATACTGAAAAAGATAATAAAAAACCAGATCTTCCAACATCTAGAAACAAGTAAAGTAATAACTAGCAGTCAGCATGGGTTTGTTAAGAACAGATCATGCCAAACCAATCTTATTTCATTCTTCAACACAGTGACTAAATTAGTAGACCAGCAAAATACTGTGGACATAATATATTTAGATTTCAGCAAAGCATTCGACAAAGTAGACCACAACCTACTTCTTAGTAAGCTAGAAAAAGGTGGAATATATAGCACCACCACTAGATGAACTCGCAACTGGCTGACAAACAATATTCAACGAATAGTCCTTAATGGGTCTAAGTCTGCATGGAGGGAAGTAAGCATTGGGGTGCCACAAGGTTCTGTCCTAGGCCCAGGACTCTTCAATATCTTCATTAATGACTCAGATGATGGAATAGAAGGGGAATTTACCAAATTTGCAGATGATACTAAGCTGGCAGGAATAGCTAACACCCAAGAAGATAGGCTCAAGATCCAGATGGATCTTGACAGACTAGAACACTGGGCCATATCTAACAAAATGAAATTCAACGTAGAGAAAAGTAAAGTCCTGCACATACAGTAGGCAAGAAAAACCAAAAGTATACATATAGACTGGGTGAAACTGGGCTCAATAGCAGTAACTCTGAGAGGGATCTTGGAATCTTGGTGGACAACCAGCTAAATATGAGCCAGCAGTGTGCAGCAGCAGCCAAAAAAGCTAATGCAATCCTAAATTGAATTAACAGAGGGATACAGTCACGATCAAGGGAAGTAGTAATACCACTCTATAAATCCTTTGTAAGACCACACCTAGAGTACTGTATCCAGTTTCGGTCTCCACATTATAAAAAAGATGTTGAGACTCTAGAAAAAGTACAGAGAAGAGCAACCAGGATGATTAGGGGAGTGGAGGCTAAAACATACAATGAACAGTTGCAGGAACTGGGCTTGGCTAGTCTAGTAAAGAGAAGGACCAGGGGAGACATGATAGCAGTCTTCCAATATTTGTGGGGCTGCCACAAGGAGGAAGGGGTTAAGCTATTTTCTAAAGCTCCTATAGGCCAAACAAGGAATAATGGATGGAAACTGAACAAGGAGAGATTTAACCTGGAAATAAGAAGAAACTTTCTGACAGGGAGAACAATCAACCAATGGAACAGAAGTTGTCCTCGGAAGTTGTGGGAGCGCTATCACTTGAGACTTGCAAGAAGAGATTGGACTGCCATTTGTAGAAATGGTGTAGGGTCTCCCGCTTGGGCGAGGGGTTGGACTAGATGACCTACAAGGTCCCTTCCAACTCCATTCAAGGTTATGCAGACTTCCACAAAATCTTTATGATCCAATTTTGAAATTCCCACATTACTCTCCCTCCCCTGCAGTCATATGACTGCATTTTGGGCACTCAGCAGCTGGCCTGCATTTATGGCTATTTGTAGTTTCCTGGAGTAACACAATCATGATTTACAGTAGTTTTGCTGCAAACTGGCATTTACGTCTGGTTTCTGGTTAAAAAATAATAGCAAACAATGCTTAACAAACATATTATTCACTTAATAACTGCTGCAAAAATGTTATAAAAATGGGTCCAGTTACATGGTGATCCACTTTTTGATCATCATAGACTTACAACTAATAGCCAGGTTCATTTAAAATGTTAAGTCGGGGACTCCCCGTAATAAAACTAGTATGAACATTCGATACCATTGGCCATGATGTCCTTTTAGGCCAACAGAGAGCTGGGGGTAGGTGGCACAGTTTTGTGCTGGTTCACTTCTTCCTTCAATTCCGGCCCCAAGCGATGTTGATAGGGCACCAGCTAATAGTCCATTTTGTTGGTGTTTTCTCCGTTCCTTTTTAATATTTTAATGAAACTACTGGGTGAGATCATTTGTCACCATGGGATGAGGAATCACAAGTATGCTAATGATACCCAGTTATATATCTCCATCCCAAGTGAAGAGAATTATGCTGTGGGTATTCTTTTGCAACCCTAGTAGGCTGTGGAGACCTGGATGTGAAACAACAGATTTCAGCTGAACCCTAGTAAGATAGAATGACTATAGATGAGGCCCTCTGTATCCAGGAATTTATCATCTTTGGTCTACACACTCCAGAAAGACCCAGTTCGTAAGACCTGGGGGCCCCTTGGACTCACAGTTCCTGTTCAAAGAACGGGTGGCAGCCATGCTTAGAAGGGCCTTTGCTCAACTTCATATTGTGTGCCATTTACATTCTTTCATGGATGCGATGACTGTTCATTCAGCCACTAATGTCTTGATCATCTCTCATCTGGATTATTTGCAACCTGCTCTATGGAGCTACTCTTGAAAATTATCTGGAAGCTTCAGTTGATGCAGAATGTGGTTGTGCAATCTATACAGGTCCTCAATTTATGACCATAATTGAGTTGAGTTTTGCCCCATTTTATGACCTTTCTTGCCACAGTTGTTATGTGACTCTGTTTTCCTCTTTGATTTTTGCTTGTCAAAAGGTTACAAAAATGCTTGTGATGACCCCAGGACACTGCAATCGTCCTAAATATAAGTCAGATCCCAATTGTCTGAATTTTAATCACATGACTATGGGGATACTGCAATGGTGATAAGTCACATTTTTCAGTGCTGTTGTAACTTCGAACGGTCACTAAATGAACTGTTGTAAGTCGAGAACTATCCATATCGGGTGCAAGAAAATGTAACACCTTTCCTTGTATGAACTGCATTGGGTGCCTGTTTGCTTCCTGGTGCAATTCATACTGTTGTGATTTATAAAGCCTTAGATAGGGCCAGATGACATAATGGAACTACCGTTGCCCCATTACATCAGCTGGTCCCTCCTTGTCAATCATGAAGGTATCCTGCAGATCCTGTCGGGCTCCAGATGCCTCCTTTTAAATTCTAGATTTTCAAGTTTTATATGCTGTTTTTATATTTTAACGTTTTATTGCATATTGCCCAGAAACCCTTTCCAAGAGAAAAATGAAGAACATGAAATAAATCTATAGCTTTGGTTTCCTGGTCTGGTCTATCTCAAAGAGTTGACAACGGCATGTTGAAAGAAAATGTCCCCTTCATTCTCTGTCATCTTGTCATGCTGGTTTAACATGGCAAAGGGAAGCCATGAAAAAACTGATTTCCCTTCTAGGCAGTTGCCCTTGAAGTTAGTATGTGACCTGGGAGAATTTAGTCTGCATCGCTTCTCTGCAGAAATATGGGGTTGGGGTCCCACTTACTACTTCTGGGGCTCTAAATTGTCTCTTATTCTAAATGAAATTGATTTCTGCTAAGTGAAGTTACCATTTCATGCTGCCTGCTGCTGTGCAGAAGAAATATAATTTAGTGTATTAAGGCATAGGAAAATACAGCACTTATTTCTTTCCTGTCTCTTTATTCCATGCTGTTGCCCTTTTTCTTCCAACCAAATCATCCTTTTAACAGGTAGACAGAGGAGAGTGTTTGTTCAGCATAAAGTTCAGTTCATTCATGAAGGACCAACTAAATTACAAAAATTATAGCTCTCCCATGAATAAACCAATGCTGCATTTTTGGGAGGAAAAAAATAAGTTGGTAATTCACAATAAGGGAACAAGTTAATTAGAAGTGCAATCATGCTTTAAGCAAATGAATTTTTAAAATCATATAATTATTTATTGTCTAAAACATTTTACTGTTATGTTAATGTGTAAAACACATCCTGTATGTGTCATCTTTAATTATATAAGCATTTCTTGTGCTCTATGCAGAGAACAGAATATAACAACTTGTACCTGTATAAGGATTGAAGCTACTCCTGATGATGAGATAGTCAAAGTCTGGGATGAACTTAGGATGGTTGGCTTACCAGATGACATTGATGTCCAAGCCTTATTTGAACCAACAGGTATTCTTTACATATTCTTCACATATTCTTAACTGGACAACCTGTAACTCATTCAAAACATTTTATTTCTGCCTTTTTGGGGGTGACAATCTTATTCTCTTTTAAAATAATAATAATATTTTGCAATAAGTGTAAGCCATATAAGGCTTTAAGGATTGACGATGAGTATATGTTGCAATATCCATGATCTTAATCAACCTTGTGAAATACAGGTAATCCTTGACTTACAACAGTTTGTTTAATGTCCATTCAAAGTTACAGCAGTACTGAAAAAAAGGTGATTTACAACCAGTCCTTGAACTTGACAACTGTCACAATAGCCCCATGGTCAGAATTTGGGCACTTGGCAAATGGGGTGTATTTATAAAGGTTGCAATATCCCATGGTCATGTGATCATAATTGGCAACCTTCCCAGCTGGTTTCTGGCAAGTGGAGTCAATGGGGGAAATCCAGATGCACTTAATAACTGTGCATTCTCTTAACAACTGCAGCAATTCACTTAACAACTGTGGCAAAAAAGATAATAAAATCAGGTATGACTTCCTTAAGAACCACTTTGGTTACTGGTGGAATTTCTGGTCCCAGTTGTGGTTATAAGCTGAGGACCAACTATATTTAGGTAAAAGTTTCCATTTAAAATTTTCAACTGCCCTGTTTAATCCATTGTAATGGATTTGTGCTACAGTTTTTCTGTTATATATGTATGTAAATGTATGTATGCATATGTATGTATATGTATGTATATGTATGTATGTATGTATGTATGTATGTAATTTATCATTGGTCTAAGTTGGACTGGTCTACTAAACTTTAAAAGGATCTTTTTAATCCTGCTACCTGTTTTAATAGAGCATGGTGGGCTGGAAGTCCAGAACTTTTAACAGGTATAAATTGAATTTTGATCCCCAAGATTAATACAATAGATAAATGTTTACATACTGAAATGCAAAATTTATATCTGATGCCTTTAACAACAACTTCTTGAATTGATTTTTCATGGTGACAAAGAATAATAAATAGCTGGTGCGAAGTTAAAGAGTTAGACCTTTTTGCAAGGTTGAGGGGGAATAGAAAAGCATGAAATTAGCCTAAACGTTGCAGTTCTCTTAAAAGATGATTGTCCCACAGTTTAGCAAAACCTTTGAAAAAGATGCAATTGTTAGTGGAGATAGGTAAGAGGTGACAAAATTCACAATTTCACAACTGAATGGGTATAGGCAACTAGAAATACATTTTATCTATTTATTTGACTTTCAGAATATGAGGTTCACAGTAGCAACTCAAATGATAAACGTGATCATTAAAGTTTGAATTGTACATTAAAAAATGCTCTTTTTTCTGTTCTTACAAAATGTTCCAGAAGCAAAGTTACATATTATATATGGAGAATAATGTAAGCATAATATGCATGAAGATAGTATATTAAGAAAGAGACATGGGTGCAATATATCAGGTTTCAAGTTCAAATTAGGCAGAAAGCTTTGTTGTACCATAACTAGGATCTATTATTCAGAAACATCTTCATGTCACATGGTAATAATACATGTGGGTATGAATTCTTACAAATTTGCAGAGATCTCAGTTTACAGAAATTCCGAGAAGACCCTAATATTAGATTCCAAATTTCATATTAATTTGAATTACCGATAGGATCAAGTTATGCCATTTGTCTTTCTGTTATACATTGGTGCTTTTTTCTATTCCCTTTGAAGCTGAAAGTTAGATATTACTTGGCAAAAGGGATCAAACTAATTGATTAATTTGCTAACATCATGTGTTAGGCTATTGTTGGGCTCATCACCGCTGTGCGGAATGGTCACTGGAAGTTTGCCAGACAGAAGAGCAGCTGCCAGCGAACGTGGACAAAGCTGTTGTCTCAGGGAGCACAAAAGTGAGTTTGAAAATAACTAAGGTTATATATTTTCTAAAATATAGTAAAATCTAAATTCTATGTCATAAATGCTGAAAACGTTATGGAATCCGGTGATAGCGTTTGCAGGTTATCTCAAAATACATATGGAATACGTTTTTCAGTGATTAATTTCTATGATGAAATCAATAAAAATGAAATGGGAGGTGGTACATTTCACTTGCAAAATGTCAGCCTCCAGATAACTAAGTAATCAGTTTTTATCCCACCTCCCAGACTTGCAAACAAGGAGGACTTTTTAAAAAACAAAAAAACAAGACTTTTAAGTGGTTTCTATATTTGCCGTAAAGATTTTGGCCCAGTAAATCAATTAATATTAAATACATTGATTTTAGGTAAATGTGAACACAGTTGCAATAAATAGATTTATGTATTCTTTTAAATGTATAAGTTAAGGTATATATGACATTCTGGTAAGATAACATAAAGATTTTACTGAGGTTGGAGGAATTGTAGAGGAGGAAATATCTTTTAAGGATAAAGTTAAATGGAGTACATAGTAACTTTATATTGGTACTAAAGGGAGGGACATTTTGTGAGTTCAGAACATAGAAAATACTGTTTCCATAACATGCTTCTTGCTTCATTTTAAGAAATTTTTTGCTGGGGGAGGATGTCTTTTATTTTTTAATGTAATTATGTCATACTGATTCTTAGTTTCCTGATATGGGTAGTCCCTGTTTTATAAATTATACAAAAATGTAGCAAGGATAAGATGTGGCGTGAACCTGCAGTATAAAATTTGCAAATGTTACATGGAATTTAACATTTATATCTTTAAGGTAGGAAGAGAATTCATATCATATCATATAACAGCAACATTTTTTTTCTATTCAAGTTGCTTTTCTAGGCCATCATTGGATTTTAGAATGCTGTTTTACATCTAAGAATTTAGATCCCCCCCTTTGAATTATAAACCCCTCTGTCCTACTAATAGATATCCCACCCCATGAAAAAATGCTTGAATATGTTTCGATGAATTTCCTTATTTGTATGTGAATAATGTTCTTCTGGATAAAACAATAATGTTTTTCACATTTAATTGAAATATGCATATTTAGTGGCAGCAAAAGAACTCTAGTTTATAGATAAATAAATACAGTACGCTTTCAGTATGTTTTCTTTAAGGAAAACCTAACTTAACAAGTATGGCCATACCACAACCAAAACACCTTTCCTACTTTGCATCCAACTACAGTCAGTCCTCGACTTAACAACCATTTATTTAGCAATCATTTAAAATTACTGGAACACAGCAAAAAATGTGATTTACATAATTTCACAACATCCCCATGGCTGCGTAATCAAAATTTGGGCGTTGGGCAACCTGCACGTATTTACAATGGTTACAGCATCCTGGAGTGATTTGCAACCTTTCTAGCTGGCTTCCAACATAGTCAGTGAAGGAAACCTGATTTGCCTAACAATCAAATGATTTATTTAACAACTGCACTGATTTAGTTAACAACTGTGGCAAACGAGGTTATAAAATTGGGTACAATCCACTTAACCGCCTTACTTAACAATAGACATTCTGGTCCCAATAGTTGTAAGTCGAGGACTACCTAGGCACATTTGTTTAAAGAAAGCATACCCTCTTTTTTTTTTAAAGTCAGCTGCTCCACTAAAGTTTTTAAAGGTTTAATTAAACTAATGATTATTGTTATGAATAAAATTTTAAGTCAGTTTAAAATGTATGCAGTTTTCTTCATCAATGAATTAGCTAAATATAACATCATTTAAAATTATGCCTTGCTTATGAAAGTAACTAATGATTGGTTTATCATGTGGCAATTGGAGATTGCTGTTTGAAAAATGCAAACCTATGGCATCCTTCCATTTGTAGAAGTATTTTTCTTAGTTTGTTTGCAAGATGGTGATTTCAAATTAGATTATACCTTTACTTTTTATGTCATTGCTTTTAACATACAATTTTACCTGGCCTTGTAATGGTAATTCACATTTTGATCACAAACACAGTTGAACTGCTGTAATATTCTCTTAAGTGAGGCTGTATTGGAAATCACTTGGAAGTGAACACTGGTCCAGTATGCAGAAGCTAGACTTTGGCATGGCAATCCTGCTGTTGCAAGGTCTTACGGTTGCTACACTCGTTAGCATTAGGCTATTGGGGTCATAGGGCAAAGACCTTCTTTGTAGTGGCCCCTAGTTTTTTGGAAGACAGTTATATCCCCCTCCTCCCGACATCTTTATCCTTGCATTATTGTACATTTCTGGGCGTTACATATTGGAACAGCTTATATGTAAGATAGAGAGAGATAGTCCATACTATCCACTTTCTTACCTCTTAAAATATTTTTTTCAGGGATAATTATTTTTATTTTAACAAGGATATGCTCTCTTCAAGTAAGGATGACAATGTAATGTTTAATTTGTTCTTTAAAAATTAAATGGTTTATAAGTACAATGTATATGCTTTGTTTCATAGAGTATTCAGGGAGGGAAGGAAGGAAGGAAAGGCAGGGAGGAAGGAAGATTTTAGTAGATTTGAAAATGGAAATATGTTACTGAGCTGCAGGTGTATGGAAGGTTTTTCTCCCAAACTGTTAACCAGTTTTACATATTTATTTAAGGAAGTCCTAATCTCACTGTAAAGGGATTTACTCAGACTCCATTTGGAATATTGTTTCTGGTTACGGAGGCCTTATTTAAACAAAAACATGGATAAGATTGAACGAGTCCAGAGACAGGCAACAAAATTGGTGCAAGGTCTGAGGGACAAAAACATGTCAGGAGCAATTGGAGAAACTTAATATGTACAACCTGGAGGACTGAAAGGAAAGTGGGGACATGGTTGAAACTTTTAATATATTAAGGATGTGAATAAGGTTCTAGAAATATTTTCAATTGTAACCAAAAATCAAGAACAGACAGAGAGGAAATTCATAAGTAATGTTAAAAAGTATTATTTCACAGAAAGAGTAGTTTTGAGGTCCCCAACCCCCAGGCTTTGGCCCAATACCAGGCTGCAGCCTGTTCAAAACTGGTCTGTATAAGTAGTGTGCGGTGTGTACGTGCAACTCCACTTGCGCAAGTGGCGGATGCACGAGCTTCCGCACAAAGCTCCATATGTGCAAGCAGTGGGCACGTGTCCTGCCACTACAGCAACTGGGGCAGTGCAAATGCATACCCCCTGTCACTTGGATGGAGCCATCTGTTCTCCCACCCGCCAGTCCTGCAAGCTGGAAAGGTTGGGGACCACTGGAGTAGTAGAAGTTTGGAACCAACGTCCAGCAGAGGTTGGTCAGTCATCAGCAACTGAGTTTAAAGATGCTTGGAATAAACACATGTCCATCATCCAACAAAAAAAATAAAAAATATAAAAATAATTAAAATTAATTAATTTTATCTTCAAATTCTTAAGGGGCAGATTCTATGGACCCTCTAGATCTTTTTCTGCCATTAGTTTCATATGTTTATATGCTTATAAATAAGGCTGAAAGTGAATTCAAGTTTCTGTAAGAATTTTAATGAAATAGATTTTTCAACCAATTTCGTACTTGAGCTCTCAAGTTTGTTCAGGGCTTCTGTTGATGGTTTTTGGTAGCAGTCCTCTAATTTTCTGACCACTTCTAAAAGGCAGGCAAGAAGCAATATTCTCTTTAATATTAATGAATTTATGTATCTAAAACATATTTTAATAAATTTGGATTTTTAATACATTATGTTCAGGTTTTTCAGCAGTACTAAACATGACTTAAGCATATTCTAAAAAAAACTCTAATAGAGTTGAGAATGCTTCTTCTAAATACTGCAATTCCAAGGAAGGTAGAATAGAGAGGATGTTTTTTTTTTCCTTTCTGGAAATAAAGCTACCTGCAATTGCCTTTTTTCTTGGCAAAGTACAGAGAACCAGGCATTCTTTACTTTCTCATAATGTTCTTTCTCGGATACTGCATCACTGCCAATTTTAGTAGCTCAATAGATAGAACAAAAAGAACAAAGCACTTCTGATGTTTCAGAAATTCTGAGATCCTAAACATACAAGTTTTCTCTTTTACATGAAAAATAGTGATAATCAACAAATAAAAACAGCTCCAGAATAAAAGCTGTGGCTGACCCTTCCTCTGCAATTATTGATAATTGATTACAAATTGAAATAACTAAGAATTGATGTATTTATTTCCCTAAAGAGAAAATTAGAAGAATTTGTGCTTGGCTTCATATGATGGAGCTTTCTATTCATTATGTCAAATGCACAAGAATTTTATTTGAATAACCATTATACTCTTTGGGATTAGTTTTATTCTGAATAACTGAGCTGCTGTAGATTAACTGAAAGCTTGCTTTGGTTGCAGTGAAGTCTTTCTTTAGAGTTTGCCAGGTTACATTGCTGTGAATGTCCTGGGATCTTCCATGTTTTCAACAGCCTTATTTTTGCATTATTGTTCATGCATTGTGTCAGATTGCCTTTGAAGAAAGTCTTCAACAAGTGAAAAATGCCTCTATTTATGCTCTTAAGTATTCTTCATTGCACTCATGATAAACCTTGCCTTTATTGTCACTACATTAATTAAAAAGACAAAATATTCCACAAAGAATTGGTCTTACACCAAAACACAGAACTATTCTAAGTTAAGCCTCCTTGAAATACAACAGTAGCATTTCATCTTTTTTCAAGTGTTGAGTTGGCAACAACATAGCCCATACACTAGTTGCCCAAGTTGCTGGAGTTTTTTTTAAGCTGTCCTACATCTCCTCCATGTGAATGAGAGCATGGTAGGGAATCAAGAACTCCATTCTTTGATTTCTCCCCTTCATGCATTTCACTCTTGGCCTTTAAGAGAACAAAGCCATCATGTGGAGGAGTTCCCGTTCTCCCCCAAAAGAGAAGAAAAAAGATCAAGCAGGTTGAAATGTGCAGCACTTTCATATATGGCTGTTCCTCACCCCGGCACCATGGAAGGGGTGAGCAGGGATTATCCATGTCTTGGTAGAAA